TGTTAGTGCCATATGTACACCCTTGAGGTATCATAGTGGATTTAACTACATTTTTTATAGAATATCATGATATATCCTTTACACCTTGCTACTTCATGAGTTGGGTAGTGATGATTAAACTATAAATTGAACAAAGTAAGGATTGCAGATAAATTAGGTATTCATAGGATCCAGATAAGAAATATCAAGATTGCAAGGGGCCAGATTGATGGCACCACTTAGAATACTACAATACTTTAAGAACTAGAAGTAGCTTGCAAATAGGGCTGCAAGCGGCAATTTAAGCTCTATGTGGATGAATGGTATGTGTCTTAATCAAGATGCCTGTACTCGTGACTGTTCATGTGGAGGTGTTAAACTCATTGATTGAATTGCAGAACATAGGAAAGGTTGTAAAGTGGCCTTCTTTGAATTATTATTATGAAAAAAAATTGTTCATTTTTTCCTGTGATAAAGAACCAACTATGGATCATAAGATCAGAGCTGTCAACTTTGTGATGGGTCGAAGGTCATGTACCATTCTGTTTAATAAATTTGAGCAAAATTATTGGCAACTATATAAGGTTTTAACGTTGTGAAATGACCAGTGGGCTTCAACCTTTTATTCCAACTTGCATTCAGTAGAGATTTCCATGGTAGGAATTAGGACCTATACACGTAGATGTAGAACAATTCAGCTTTCCTCGATATTCTTGAAAATCCACTTACATTCTCATTCCTCTTTGCTCCAATAGTCATAGAGCCTAATCAAAGGTCTACTACCAGTTTGTTCCTTAATATTCTAGAAAATCCACTTTCCTCATCACTCTACACCACATGGAGTTATTATAGAGTAATGTATTTAAAAGCCTGCAGTTAAATCTGTGAAGTATAGAACATTAACATATAGAGAACAGCTTATTGTTTTATATATACTTTTAGTCTCACATTACTTGGGAAGCTACACCACATACCTCTGCACTTCTATACCAACTTGCATTATGGGTCTTTTTTTTTGCAATTTTAAACTTTTAAGGAGGCTATACGTAATTTTTTTGGGGGTTTGTTTGTAACATCCTGATGTTTAGGGTTCTGTAATTTTGGAATTTAAAGGGGTTGTTTGTAACTTTTGAATTTTTCTGCGAGTTGTTTATAGTTTTAGATTTTTTGGAAGCTATTTGTAATTTTCATAGTTTTCAAGTTTTGTAATTTTATGAGATAACTAGCAAATAGGAATGATACCAACGTAAAATTATGGCATAATGGCATTATGGAGGTTAAGTGCAAAAAATCAAAATATTCTGAGGGTTTTCTAAACTTCCCAAACTTATTAGGGCTTTAGGGAGAGTTTTAAAAATTTTGGGGATTAGTGCTAAATGCCCAAAGTTATTGGAGGTTTAGTGAAATCTACTCTTTAAAAAAATTAAGGAGGGCCTCATGAAAATTTCTTGAGGTGTAAGACTACTGAAAAACAGAAGAAAAGAAAAGATGACGTCAAAAGAAATAAAAAGAAAAGAGAGTTAAAAAATGATTATTAAAATTTTTAAATATGGATAGCTATAATTTGATTATGATTAACAAATATTTGATTGTTAGAATTTTCTAATTATAGATATGAATAGTTTGATGAGGATACTTAGATGAAGATAGAATTAGTTGTACACATGTCATCTTCTAATAGGATAGAGGGACACAAGACACTTTTTTTGTTTTGGGGATTTGACATCTTGCATTTTTTGTACGCATGGCGCTTTTTGATGCCTTTAAGAATAGTTCACCAATTTCTATTTATTATATAAAGAAGGATATATAAAGGAGGATGTTTCAAACTTTAAGGGAGTATATGGAGAACCTGTGGAATTCAATTTGCTGGATCTTTTCATGCATCCAGTTTCAGAAACCAGAGGAACTTTAAGAGAGGAAATACCTTCCAACTTTTGGATGTTTGCTTAAGTAGTTATGTTTTGTCTTATGAGTGAGATAGTTTGGTTCTCATACAGGTATACGCAAATACATGATTTCCACGTATTCACGGTGCAAATTTATGTTAAAATTTGTCCACTTTTAGCATCATTTGAGTTTTTCAAATCTTTATGATACATTACTCATTACTTTCTGTGGGGGAAAGTTTTGTTCCCTGAAGACAGCTAGGTTGCTGCATGTTAAATTTTTTTTTTCTCACACACTTAGATTCATGTGGAATCTTCTCTTGCCAATTTTTTCTATGCACTTTATGGTATCATGCTACTCATAGTTTGGTATAAAGTTACTGACTCTGCATCTTTTTTTCTTTGGCATTTCATCTTTGTACACAGTGTGTGGCTTCACACCCAGATACAAGGATTCTGTTTCTCAATGGTAAAATCTTCAGCTTGTTCTCTATATGCTGATGTCTCCAGTTAAATCTATGCAATCTATCTCATTAATGAAATAAATCCAAGCTCCTGCCTGCATACGAGCATCCGGTTTGTGGTTGTTTTCTTGTAACTATGTTGTTTGCAACTCAATCAACTTTTCCTGCAAATGTATGTGATGAGGATGTCAGTTAATTGGGAAGAGTTGTAAGTAAAAATTTTTAAGGACTTATGTACTTTGAAACGAGTTCTGTAAGTTATGGCGATTTACATATGATTGCTTATGAATATCCTGTTTGATTCTTTCAGATGGGGTTCAGAGTATTTTTCTTATTAGAACTAACTAATTTGTGTAGTCCCATTCCCTTTTCCATTTCATGTAGGCCCAACCATTTTGTGTTTCTTACTTTGTTTCTTCAATCCGGACACTAATTTTACCCCTCTCTAATTGAATAGCAGACCGAGTATTAGGATTTAGGATATTACTTCGGCTTATTTAGAATTTCTAATTCCATGAAAGATAGAAGCTTTAGGCAGTAATCATCCTCATGTAGGCTTTCTTGATTCAAAATTTGTATTTTCTTGTCTACACTGGGGAAAAAGATATACTCTTTTAATATTTATACTAGTATATATGTGCATGAAGTATCCTTATGGATTTCCATCAATTTTGTGCCTATATCTTTCCATGAATTTAAATGTTTTAGAAAATTTGTCTGATGATAATAAATCCTTTTGAAGTATGAATAAAATGTCTAATATCTTTGATTTTTTTATATATGTTGATTATTTGGCAGTATATCTTAATCTTTGATTTTTTTTATATATGTTGATTATTTGGCAGTATGTCTCATTCTTTGCTTTCTTTCTTGCAGCTCATATGCCATTGTACCTGTATCCTTTTCTGAATACTACTAGTAAGACGAAGCCATTTGAGTACCTGAGACTTACCAGCTTAGGAGTAATAGGGGCTCTTGTAAAGGTACTGAATTTATATTTAGATTTGTTTTTGCACATTTGCTGTTAATATAAGCTACTGTGGCTTCACCTAGATCACTGTACTTATTTACTGTATTGGGGAACTTTGTACTTTTAGGGTGTGTTTGGATTTCAATGGGGTTAAGGGAAGTTAAGGGAAACTAGGTGAGAGAAGAGAAGGGAGTTCTCTTCCCCTTGGTTACACCCCAATTTGGGGGTAACAAATTTTATACTATTAAGGGGTGAACTAAGGGGAATTAGGGTGAATAACTTCACCTCCTAAATCTTTCCAAACAAGGTGAATGGTTCCCCTAACTTTCCTTCTCCCTTATTCCCCTCAATCCAAACAAGCCATTAACCTTTCAAAGTTGCCCTATCTCTGTATCCAAAAGTAATTAGTTAATATTTCATTGGCTATCTAAAAAAACATAGATTTTTTTTGTCTTTCCGAACTAAATATACCAATTATATAGTTCAGTTCTGAGGTTTATTCCCTTGTAAGATCCCCAATTACCTATTTCTAATCCTAACCTCAGCCGCATCTTGAGTTCCAGGTTCACTTCTTTGCAGTATAAATTTATACCAGTTATAAGTTATATCTTTGTTAGAATATAAAAACATAACTCTCAACCCTTACCACAACCTAGGAGTTCTGGTGTAGTGATGAGGAATTTAAGGTGGTGCCAGGTTCGAATTCTACTGGCCACAAAATTTGTAAAGCAGATTAAAAAAAGGATATTGCTCCATGAGACTAGATATATCTGCCCACCAAAAGACTCTCAACCTGCGGGGCATATTATAAAAGTATAACCCTCAGCCCTCACCACTACTTCAGAGCTTTCGTGTAGTGATAGGGACTTTAAGAATCTTGATAGACTGAGATCTAATGGTGGCATGCTGCTTTCCTAAATTTACAATTATAATTAAACTGGGGTATGAACACAATTTAATCACTAACCAGAATACAATGCTTTCTTACCAAAATCCATAGTCTCCACTTCTGTAAGTAAACTTCAACGTAAGTCTATCAAGATAATTAACGACACTCAAATGTTGAAGCGAAAAGTATTCAGCGACTACTTTTTCCTCCGGAGTTAATTGGTTGTCTCTCATAATCACTCCTATCCTTCTTTCTTCCATTATTTGTAAAACAGTGGGTTGCTCTGAGAACTTGATTACGAACAGATCATTTGATGTAATCAACAGTTACTGTCTAGAATCCATTTTTGCATATACCTATTATAAATCGGCTTCATTAATGGCTCCCTATTATTAATCATGTTACTAGGTTTCGAAGTGTTACTAAACTTTTTATGTTGCAGGTGGATGATACTGAGGTTATTGGTTTTCTTCTTCAAACAGAAATTATTCCTCTGTGTCTGCGCACTATGGAAAATGGTAGTGAATTGTCAAAAACGGTATGTAAATGACCCCTTGAATTGTATTTTGCTAAATTTAAAACTTTCCATTGTTCGGCATTATTTATTTGTATATTTTCATCATGGATGCTAACTAATTGCTGACTGTAAAATAATTCTGCCTTTTTTTGTTCTTTGTTCCTTGATAAAGTGAATATTTAATCTTCTTATCTGTAAATAAAAACCATACATCTGCAGAACAAAAACTCGTTTACAAAATAAACAACTTCATTAAAGATTATAGATGAGGGGATTTTTGTGTTAAACTTTTTAGATGAGAGGTTTTTCTTGAAAGCAGGGTGTTCATGAAGGAGGTATTTGATAATTTATGTGTTAAACTTTTTAGATGAGAGGTTTTTCTTGAAAACAGGGTATTCATGAAGGAGGTATTTGATAATTTACCCAAAAAATTATGCAGGTGGCGACCTTCATTGTTCAAAAAATTCTGCTAGATGATATCGGGCTTCGTTATATTTGTGCCACAGCAGAACGGTTCTTTGCTGTAATTCAAGTGTTATCGACCATGATTGAATCACTTTCCGAGCAGCCCTCTATGAGGCTACTGAAACATATCATTCGCTGTTGCCTGAGGCTATCTGACAATTCAAGGTAATTTATTTATTTATCTTTATGTTTCTCATTTATACATTTAGTAATTAGTTATTTTTTTTCAATTATAATATGATTCTCATGTTCACAGGGCATGCGAAGCTCTGAGGGACCATCTTCCAAAACTGTTAACTGACAGGACTGTTGACCGCTGCCTTCGTGTGAGTTCACCTTTTTGCTCAAGTATCTTTGCAATATACAATCTCAATGTAGGCAATCAAATTTTCACTCATAACCCTCCTGGCTCTTAATTTTCTAATATCTTCTTCCATGACTTTTTACAACTTTTTAACAGTATTTAACATGTTTTCATGTTATATTTTTCTTTTTATCTTAGTTTCCAAATATTAACTATTAGAAGTCAACAGGTTTGATGAAAAAAATTTCAAATTTTAGTTGGTAGTTGAAGTTTTAATTTTACCTTTTTAGTGTTATGATGGAAACATTATGCATCCGACTCTTTCAAAACTAATATATATGCATAGTGATGAGAATATTTCATCTCTAGACCTTGATTGTGTAACTTGAGAAATGTAACACACTTCGAGCAAAAACTAAACCTGCATTAATATCTGGGTAATTTTCACAAAACTACGATGAACTTTGGGGGTATTTGCACAAAACTATCATAATCTTCTTTTATTAGAGAAAACTACCATGAACTTTTAACTGCCAAAAAAATACAAAAAACTTCTGGAAAATATTGATAACGACTTTAACGTCGTGGATGAAAGTTCTAAACTATCCTTATTTATATGTCTACCCACAAATCAGAGAATAAGTTCGTCTTGCACTTTAACTGGTCAATTCTATATGTGTTTCTATAACATATTTCTCTAGATTCAATTGAATTTTCTTTTTCTTGCTTTTTTTTCCTTCTTTCTTGAAAATTTTTGGTCAGAGGTTGTCTGGCATGACGTTCAATTTGCAATATTTATTGCAGGAAGATCCTGCAACTGGTAGATGGCTCCAACAGCTTCTATTGAACGTCTATGGAGAAATCGGAGCAGCGGCTTTTCAGGGAGGATTGGAACTGATGATGGGAAACTAGGGTTTGTTGAATCTTTTCCTTGTGTACAAATAATAATGTATCATATGAATGACAATACAAGATGTCATTCATATGATATGAAGCTTTGGAACAACAGGAACCTATAAACGACAATATAAGATGTCGTTTAGATGTTTGTTTACTGTGATGTGCATGTTTATTGTTATGTGCAAGTTATATTATCTTAACTTAGTCCTATTGTAACTTATGGTTTTGCCTCTTGGGCTTTATTTAGCAAAGTAACTATAGAAATCAAGAGGGTATGAAACATTCAGTGTAAGACTTTTGCAAAGTTGGCTCAAGTGGAGTTTGAGGATATCACTGTTTTCATGTTTGTTTGAGTAATGTAATGTGGGGCATGAGAATTTTGTTTTAGTTGTAATGTGATGTACTGCGAATTGTTCAAAACTGAAAACTGAGAAGATGGATGACGAAACAACTGAAATTTTACATTTTTCTCTATTTTCAGTTGTTGGAAAGAGTATATTGTTGAGGGTTCAGTATACTATTATGTTCAGCAAGAATTATACCTTCTTTGATGATTTTCATGTCCCATTGCCCCTTTGGTGGTTATGCACGCCTATCTATACTATGTCATATCATTGCGGCCTATCTATACTGTGTCATATCATTGTATATTTTCCGCAGGGAGTGTAATAACCATAGGAAGGTCAATTGATAAATGAATCATGAAGAGGTATGTAAAACCTTTGCGCAAATGTTTGATGTATAGTGATTTTGATAATACGATGGTTATTTCTTATTGATAATTTCTTTTACATGTGCCTTCTATCGGTATCTTTGAGGCAATGTTGACGAATATTTATTGTTTGCTATTAATTTTGACGAAGTTAGGATTTGTTGCGCTGCATATGCTGAGTATTTGTGGTTTCTATGTTGAGAGTAACCGCTTTAAGCTTATTATTTGCTATTCTGTACCACACAAAGTGCTGTTGATTTCCTTGAAGGTTATTTATTCATTGTTTTAGACAAAATGCGACTCCCTCGAAAATTCACCAAAACATCCTCTTAACAATAAGTTACCTCGCTGAATATAACTGAAACTCTATTTTATTTATGTTCTTTTCTATGATCATTGTAAATCGGAAAAATCGTGTTAAGGCCCTAAAATAAAGAACTTCGTGTGTCTCCCAATCATATAAATTCACTTATGTATAAGCCCCAAATATCAAGGGCTTCTGTGATTCAGCCTTTTTTCACGCTCTCCCAAAAAATATCCCAGAAAATTTCAAAACTACTACTTTTTTTCATAAAGATCATAACCGCTCCTTCCTTCTCTCTCCTAGTCTTATTTTCCTCCTCTCTCCCTCTTACTCCTCTTGCCCTATACCTCGCTATCTCCTTCTCCTGCCTCCCCCTTCTCCTGCCTCCTCCTTTGTCACCACCAAGCGTACCCTGCAACCCGTCATCTTAGGCAAGCGTTGAGAAGGCTTAGAGAAAGAGGAGAGGTGGTCAGCAAGATTGATGGAGAGGAGCATGGAGAAGGAGTAGAGGAGAAGGAAGGAGAGGTTAAGCTCATCGAGCCAGTGAGATCCTTGGTGATGGGTGGTAAAAGAAGATCGGAAGGGGGTATGGATGGATTTGGTGATGGAGCGTGGTCTGCAAGAGGTGTAGAAGACTATGAATATTAGGGTTAGAGTTCGTATCTAGTGGGTAATAAAGGAGGAGGAGGAGGATAATGAGGATTTTGGGACATATGTGTTGATTGTCGAATGCTTGTGATGTGGATGAGTTGACTTGCAGGTTAAAATGATATTAGTTGGGCTAAAAATTTATGAATGCATATAGAGTGTTTGATGAAATGCTAAAGAGAGATGTGATTTCTTGGAATGTGGTAATAATAGATCATGTACAAAGAAAATGTTATAGAGATATTATGAATATTTTGTTATTGCTTTTGGGTGTGTTAACAGTACATGTGAATGACAAACAATACAAAATCATATTTTTCATTGTGCTTGTTGTGATTCTGTTATTTTTGTAATCAATTTGCTATGATTATTATTGATGCCATATATACTTAATAGGTAAGACGCAGAGTTAACATCTTTCTGAGAAAGTTAACAGGAAAAACCAAAAGTTAATAGATTCGAGTGAAAGTTAAAAGTTAACTGATCGAGATAGTTAACAGGAAATAAAAATAGACTATATGTAGTAAACATGCATTTTATATTGATTGTTCTTACATTCCTAAAGCTAACAAGTTGGATTGCACGTACAATGCACGTGGTTGAATATCATGGTTATTAAAATTGATAAAAATATAATAAAAATAAAAAAGAAAATAAAGTTTTTTACGGGGTTCATCATCAACTCAATAATCTCTCTTTTAAATAAAATATTGTCATTGTTTCCATCAACCCAGACTATCGTCACGTGATCTACTATTTGTGAGTTGTAAACACAATGATCTAGTACAATATCTTTAGTTATTAGTATCTTGAAGTCTTTAAAAGATGAGTGATCATTCAATTCGCAATGGAATTTTACATATGAATTTACGTGCAATATGTGTGACGCCCTTGGGTTCACACAAGGCTGCAGTCCAAGGTGAAACCAGAGATCAAGGTGAAACCAGAGATGTTAAACCTGTCATGCACCCATACTGTGCATAAACACATTTCACCAATCACAACAATATCCTCTAGTGGAACCAAATAGAAGTGCAGGTACAAAACAGGCAAAATAAAGGAAATAAATGTAATAAACATGATATAGAAGAGATATCTCATAAATAAAAAGAATAATGTCTCAACTATAATACATCTGATATCTGAATAATGAAAATGTCTCAACATGAATCAACCTGATATCTGAATAATGAAAATGTCTCAACATGAATCAACTAAAAATCGTACTAAGGCACACTGCCTTTACAATATATAAAAATGTCTCAACATGAATCAACTAAAAATCGTACTAAGGCACACTGCCTTTACAATATGAATATGAAACTCTAATGTCTAGATAAAATTCAAAACTGCAGTGGAGTCTCTACAAGTAAAAATACGCGACGGCGACTATGCCGGAACTTCGTCACTCTGCGGCTCTCCGAAACTCCGAACTATCTGAAAAGTAATTTAAAAGAAAAAGAACAACAACAAGAGCGTCAGAGCGCTACAGCGAGATTACCTCCATCCGCCCCCAGAGAATGGCTACTAGATGGAGTGAATGCTCTATCTATTAAGCATAGTCTATCTAGATTCATTTTCCCCATACCTAAGTAGGATTAACATTTAGAAACCTACAACACGAGACGTAGTACGTCGAGCGGAAAAATCCAAACAAGAAAATCCTCATGTATATACCATAAGTCTCAAATTGTAGATATTTAAACATTAATACCGAACTAAGAAAAGACAATCTAATGAAACCAATAATTAGAAATCCATAACACGAGACTGGTACGTCGAGCGAAATAATCCAAACAAGGAAACCCTCATATATATACCATATGTCTCAAGTTGTGAATCTCTAATCATTGATCCCAACTAAGAAGTAAAGAAGACAGAAAAAGAAATAAGATACCAACACATTGTATTTATAATATCTTCCACTATCACTGGAGAGATAGAATTGTTAGACCCTAGAGGGGGGGTGATTAGGGTCTTATGCTAATCTAATCCGATTTTATGCCAATTAAAAACTAATTAACAAGTTATCCTAGCAAGTATGAAATACAACAAGAATATAAGCTAGGATAAGCAATATGAACAAAGAGATATATCCTATATGATGAATATATATATGCAAGGATATATAAACTAATACAAGGGGTAAACTATATGAACTAGATAGTGGATCATATAAATAATAAGCTAATGATAATGGCGACAAGAATTATAAACACAAGTATAAATAAACGCCAAAGCACACTCAAACACAAGATATGATCACGGAGTTCGGACCTTCCGTCCTACGTCCCCGCTCCCCACTCCCGGGGAGAAATCCACTATCACAATCCGGTTTGGAAGCCGGAACTTCTACACACTCGGTTTACAAGTTCACCGAAAACTCTCACACACTATCACAACCGGGTTTTCTACGCTCACCCGAATAACGTTTACACCTCACAGTGTCGGTTTTCAACGCTCACCGAACAACGTTCACTCCTCACACTCGGTTTTCTAGTTCACCGAAAACTTCACAACACACTCGGTTTTCTAGCTCACCGAAAACCTTACACCACTCACAATGTAACAAATATAAATTTGTTCTCTACAATAGATGAGAACACAATTAAGCACAACTCAATGTTACAATCTCTCACAACCCTAATATACTATGTATGCAAATACAATAAGCTCAAGTGGGTGTGTGTAACAATGAGATAATATAATCAAATCTAAACTCAATATAAAAACTAGCTTTAAAGAATGATAATCAAATAACTAAGCAAATGTAAAGCTAGATAGAGTTTAGAAAACTTCTCCAATAGATGACAAGATGGAGAGATGGAGATTGGAGCCCAAACAAGAAGATGATCTCCTCCACTTGTAAAAATAATCTTCAAACCAAACAAACACTAAAACCCCACTTAAACCCTTGTTTAAAACTCTTTAAACTTGTTTAAAACATTTCTTTTGTTAACTTGAAAGAGAGCAGCAATAGGGTATTTATACCCACTCTAAATCTCAGCCAAAGTCCAAACAAAAGACAAAAACAGCCCCAGCAAATCAGCTCAGGAAATAGCCGTTGGGAAAGCAACGGATCTATTGTCGGTCGACCGGCGGAAATTTCGGTCGACCGACGGAGAACAAAAGCACGAAGAACTGTTCTGGACAATCGTCGGTCGACCGGTGCGGTCGACCGATGGAAAATATCGAGCTCTCGGTCGACCGCATCGGTCGACCGACCAACTCTCTGCTGCATGCTGACGAAAGAACAAATGAGCGGTCGACCGGATCGGTCGACCGAAAACTGATATGCAGAAAATCT